GCAGTAAATTAATTTTACGATTAAGTTATTTTATTTATTTTCAACTATGTACGTACGTAGTTCTGTGGTAGAGAGATGGAATAAAAATTTCTTTTTGTCAAACTCGCCAATTGTTTTATTTTTATCATCACACCTAAATAATGGGTAATAGCGATTTGCGTATTTATTTTTTCGTCATCATTTAATTTATTATTTACCCAGTTCAAGAGGCAAATGAAACTAATTTACTTTTTACACTTTAAGTGTTTTTATTATTATTTATTCTCATTTAATTTTTTTTAGCTGTTATAACTGTTATGCACATACATAGATATTTATACGTACGTTACGTATGTATGTATAATAATCCACCATATCACCATATTCAGTCCAATTTTCTTAATATTTTGTAAGATGATAATCCTTACAATGCTGGCAATGGAAAATATCCATAAAAATATGTGTACGCATGAGGATATCCACCTGGAAGAAAATAAACAGACGAGGAAGGTCTTTGTGAAGACGACTCGAACGTTGTTTCTAATTGTACGTGTTTCCCGTCTTGCTTTACAAATTCCTGTTTCTGATTGGGTTCCTAGAAATTAAAAAATAACCGTAGACAACGTAGTAAAAACTCCATAAGCATTACGTAATATGTAGGTACTTGTAATTAAATTTACCACTACTTGTGGGTTTATTAAAAACTTATTAGCCATCATAAAATCTGGAAAACGTGAATCAAACACGAATTTAGTTAAAAAACCGAGTTATTCTTACACGATAATAAATATAATTGTCGATTACTTACTGATGCACTACATTGTCTTTATCTTTAATTTTTACCTGTAGCTCATGATTAATAATAGGGTTGAACGTTTTAAGGGCCGGGACAATTTCGTTTTGGATAATTACTGGTTGGACAATGTCCGCTCCGATAGCCACTGCTCGATTTTCGTGAATTGAATAAGAATAATCTTTACCACTATTATCCGATTTCACATTAACAACTGAAGAATCCAAAGGAATGATCGAAGCTTCATTCGAAAAACAGCCGAGCATCGTACAAATACAAACAATCTAAAATTAAGTTTTACTTTAGTTACGTAAATAGGCACGTTTGGTCCAAAAAGAGTGATAGTTATTAATGTGTAGGTACTCATTCACTTACAATTCTTGTAAACATTATGTACCGTTGGCGATGAAAGCAGATCAAAAACTAATTCTTCGACGGTGTCTATTATCCCTTTATATTAAAATCTAATAAAAAAAGTCGAAATATATTTCTAAGTAAGAAACATGCACGAAGATAGAAGATGCATTTTCCAGCTGGATGCTGGATGCTGGATGGCCACGAATAATGCATGGATCCTTCTTTCCACCAAAAACCTTTGTGCAGTATTTCAAAACATATTTTTAAAACTATATATTAGTTTTATTTTAAAGTTACATACTTATGTGCAATATAGAAAAGTGTCGAATTTCTATCGCAAGTTTGTACTCTTTACGCACATATGTATGGCTATTACTTAAACAAATTTGGCTTGTAAGTAGAATTCTTATTAATCTTTAGCAATGGTTTGGTTTGCACCATTCTTTGTGTTATACTTGAATGTTAATATCGATTGTATCGATTTTAAAACGTGTAAGTACTATGTAAAAACGTGATCCGTTCGCCAATTTTGCACAGGAGGAATAGTAATCTGCCTTAAACAAGTACAACTTACATTTTTAATTAAAGTTACTGTTAAACATAAAAACAGCGTCCAGTAAATTAAAGGCTGAATAAAATTCTATTTGAGTAATTCAACTTTATTTCCCATTAATTAATAGGTAGCTAAATATCTGCCAGTCTATGTACAAAGTATGTAATAACTTCTAAAAGACAAAAACAAATGCGATTTTTTATACCCGTATAATTTCTCACAACAAGTTGTTCTTGAATAAGCGTTCAGGTTTTATTGTTATTATTGGTAAATGTCTTTTTTATTGGTAAGTAATGCTAACGTAGCTATCCTAAGTTTTCGCTAGTATTACAAGGAATTAATATGCCTCTCGCATGACAAGTTTCAAAGCTGAAACACATGCACCTAACTGTAATTATAAATATTAGGTACTAATTTTGTCACGAAAAAGTCAAAGAATACGACGTACCTACAAGCACTTTTAAGAAGAACGTTAACTAATTATTTTAAAGGCAATTAAAGAGGTACACGACATGGAGAAGAACAGAATCGTGTCGTTCTAAAAAAAAAAACCTTTTCAAATAGAATATGGAGGTAGACAGAGACGTGAAAAATTGTTGTTGTAATGTTTTCTATTTCAAATGTTTGTAAGCAATATCTTTTAGGAAACTGCATTCGAAATAGAAAATGTAGTGGTTATCTTTTAAATAGTTGTTAAAAAAATAGAAGAGGAGATCAAAAACCATTTAAATACAAATAGAAATTAATGTTTAGAAGACATTTAAAGATTTTTCTCCTTCATTTCGTATTTGCATTTTAAATTCCTAGACCTCTTTTGTTTGATAAAATTCCGATTTGAACGGTGCCATCGAGTTATTGCTGTATTGTACAATTCTCGACAACATAAAGGTATATTATACCTATTTTAACCAGAAAGGTTCGTTGGCATCAGAAGCAAAGTCAAGGTTTAAACGAGGAGAAGGCAAATATCTTTGTATCGGTAGCATAGCATAGCGAACTCTCACCTGACCGGTTCAATTAATGATCTTCTCATTTATAATAAGTTGTACCTACTGCACTTGGTACATTCTCATAGAGCGGTCGAATATAATAAAAAGTTAAGCGTCTCATCAGTCAGAATAAAAGTTTGTTGTTGTTTTCAAAATTATAATAAGTAAGTCGCCAACTAACTGAGACAGGTTCTTCCGCGCTGGTTAGCGTTGGTCCTGGCGATTTTTCTTAGAAGAAATCGCCAGGACCATCGCTAACCGAAATCAACGGCGCTTACAAGCTTACGAGCACCGAACGTGGAAGTCTTGACATTTGTACTTCCAAGTTATAACAACCTATTCGTCTATTTTGTATCTATACATCGTATTTATTTATGCGTAAGTTGGAGCATTTTGTAAGTATTTTGAATTTTACAAGACCGGAATGTTTAATTAGTGGCCTTTACAAGAATGAGGTCACTTAATAAACCTACCCTGCAAGTAATACGCGAAAAAGAAATACATATAAGTACCTTTTTCTTTATTTGTCCTAGGTATGTAAAAGACTTGAGAGATTCGTAACTGACTTCAATTCGTTATAGTACATAACGGCTACCTTTTAATTTTCAATCAAATCATGTTTACGTACTGTTATCTAACGTACTTATTACCTATAGGATGCCTTTAGCTTGGGTCACGCATTATAACATATTAATAATGCATAATTTATTCGTTAAAAGTTTATTTACCATTCACTGCAGACGCGGCGTTAATTAGCCTTGAAATCATTATTTCATAATGTAATGCAAAGGTCCCAGTCCCAAGTACCTTTTCTGATACATGGAGACGAAAATGTTTGTTGAACCTGCAACAGAACCGAGAAACGAGAAGCTCCTTCAGTTATATGTTGGTTTAGACTTTAGACATAACATGGACATAACGTTCTTTGCCCCTTCTTCCACAGATAAATGTTAACTTAATAAGAGGCCGAGGTCCAATGTTACCGAGCTAGTTTTGCAGGGGTCCACCATCAAAAAAGTTTTCGAACGATCACGCACACCGTGCTGTCGACGGTCGATTTTACCTAATTGAACAATAGTTGCAAATAGTTGAAACAAAAAGAAATGAAAAGGGCTGCATTCTTTCTGGTACGTATTTATTTATTTATTTATTTGTTTGTTAATTTTATTTTTTAATTGAGTTTAATTCACTTTTTCTACAAAGGTACATAACGTGTAAAGTTTAAATAATATACCTACAGTATAAGTATACAGTATCCTTTCCGTCTTTGTAGTGTATGTAGCCTTTATTCAAATAACATCCTCTTTCGGTCATCGACTTCTCTTATAACTCTAACTGTTGTTCAACATCTTCAATACATATTTATGTATGTACTATTAAACATGCGAAAAAATTCAACTAAAATTTTACAACTATTCCTATACAGTACATATAATTTTATTGCACAGGTACTTGCATATAGTATGTACGTTATTTAATTACAGTAATCGCCAATTAGATTTTTTATACATAGTTTTATTCTCTTTTTAACAGATTTATTGTTTGGCTGTAATAAATGCTAGACCAGAAGAAACAAAGATTAAGGCATCTGATGTTGAAAACGTAGAGTAAGTAAAATTAAAGGTTTTCCTAGCTAATAATTAATTTTTTATGTGCATATACGCACCTCCTTCCTGATTGCCTTCTTGTTTTGTTAAATAATTCAAATGCATGAAACGTTTTTGGAATTGTAAATATGTATGCAGAAACACTTATAAATTATAAGTATTTATGCTTATATTTGACTTGAAATATTAAATAGTACAATCAAACTTACCCTTAAAATTATAGGCAAAACAAAACAAATAATATGAGAAAAATCAAACATTATAGTAACAGTTCCTCTCTTAACACAATTATGTAGGTCCCATATTTATTTTAACTTTCATTAGCTAAATTGACAGAAATTCGTGCATTATACATGTACATATTACAATATATGTACACGCCAGTGTGTGTTTTCTTTGTGTTAGTGTTTGGGGAATCTGCTTTAGAAGATAAGAGTCAAGAAGCTGCGTAATTTTTTGGGTAAGTTCTGGCCCTTTTAGTAAAAACTGCTTGAATTGTAAAAACAAAACTGCAATTATTAATTCATTTTTCAGAATCGAGAAGCAACGGGTCATAGAATTGCAGCTATTTTCGAAAATGTCCACGTCTGCTACGAACGAAGACAAAGATCATGAACGCAAGACAAAAGAAATAATGGCAAAAATAGACCAAGTGAACAAGAATTTGGGCTACGTGCAAAACAAGAATAAGCCGCAGAGGAAGTTGTATTACGGTATATTTTCCAAATCTGAACAGAAAGGGCCTGTTACTACAGCAGACCTCTTCCAGTCGGGATTGAAAGATCTTGCCAAAATTGTTGGCGTTGATAACAACAATAGCAACAAAAATTCGAAAGAGAGAAAGATTGAAAACCCGCATTCCCAGTATTTCTTGTTTCCCGTTC